GAGGGAAGAGGGAAGAGGGAGGCTGGCAGTCAGCCTTTCCGTATGCAGATTCACACTTGCCGCCGCCTTCAACGTTTTCTGTGGATGGATCCTCCTGCCAACTCTTGGATCCCAACCCTCTCTTTTGGCCATAAAATATCGGCATTTTATTAGCGCGTGCATCCCATTTGCCGCTTTTCATTGCGATTTTAAAAGTGTTCCCGTGTTTTGATAGCCACACTATCAGTGACCCATGAAAATAAATGTGGCCTATAGAGATTATGCCATCCTGTGTGTATGGTATTGGGACGTAGACTGGCACTGGGACTGCGATCTTGGTCTCTGCCTCAAGGCAGAACGAGAACCCACAGAGTCCAGAGTCGCTCGTCCAAGACTTTGGTTCGGTTGCCTTAATGAAATATGGCGCAATAATCCAGTATAACGGCTATTTAGGGCCACTCATCGGGTATGCTGCCCAATGCCCCTCTGCCCCTCTGCCCCTCTGCCCCTTTTCTCTCTTTCTTGAGGGCTTCCTTCCTTCCTCTAATGCGTTGTCTGGTTCGCACTTCTGTCGCCTCAATTCCAATGATTCCTTTCCTTTCGTTTCGTTTCGTTTCGTTTCGGATGCAATGCAAAAACCACAAATTAACTGCACATCAAGCATAATCATTTGTGAAAGCTGCTCTCGGCTGTGGCCAACTAACAATAACAACAACAACAACAACAACAGAAAACACCTCAACCCATACGCTGTTCCAGTGAGTGTGTGTCCCACAGCCACATCTCATCCTCACTCTCTGTGGCAAATTACTTAAACACACGGCACTGGACTGTGGAGCACGGCATGGATGGATGGGGCTACCAAATCAAAGATATTTTGTGCAAGAAAAAACGAATAGGAGATGCTCTAAGGGGGACGGGAGACTGTCAGTACTGGAAAATATATGCCTTGAAGATGAACACGGGAAAGGCTATTTAAGAAATGTATTTCCGAAGTTAGCCAAGTTTTTGCTGAATTATTACTACTAAAAACAATCTCAGAAGCAAGAAAAATCATAAGGTACCGTGTAAATCTCTTGTCTCTCTGCTTGTATAAAAACAATAGAAAAGTGTCCAGAATTGCATAGGTAAAACTGTAATGTACTTTCAGCAGCTTTTATTTAATGGAATACTCATTGAAAAATGCACAACCATAGCCTCAAAGGAACCTTTCCACAACTATCTACAACACATCTTAATTATCATTTTAAATATCACTTAAGTATCACGATTTACTTTCAAGATGCATTAATTTCTATCAAAAATCTTTAAAAGAAAACCCTCGCACTCCCTGGTACACTTTTCCATGTACCCTTTCGTACCCCCATTATACCCTTTCCTTCCTGGCACTTCGACACTGGGCACCATAATAAACTCCCGACCACTGTCCGACCTTGCCTGCGTGTCTGGAGGAGTCGGAGTAGGACTCACTCTACTCACACTCCCTCAATCATCCGAGCCCCCCCCCAATCACCCGTTCCCCTCGTGCATACGAGGCCAACCAATTGGCGAAGTTGACAACAAAATTTTTGGTGGACCGCCCGCCACAAGCGATAATTCTTCCAGTGCTATGACAACTAAATTGCCATGGCCGTATTTGACCAGACAAGGGGCCCCGGCCCCATGGCCCAGAAGATACCCAGCCAAGCCAATCCTATTGCCGAAAAAAAAAACCCTTTGCCCGGCACTCTGGATAATTCGCATGATGATGAATTCCAGCGAAACAAAAAAACAGCCCAAGTAAATGGTCAAAACAGAGCAGGGGAACAGGGGGGTGCGAGTGTGTGTGCGAGTGTCTTTTTTTTAGGGTTTCGACTTGGCTTTTGGTTTGGTTTTCGTTTATTCACTTGACTGTAATTGCTGGCCCGCTGTCGGAGGAGTCAGTGGAGGTTGGAGTCCCAGTCGCTGTCTGGGTCGCGGGTCCCACACACAAAATCCACAGCTCTGTGGCATGGCGTGGCATGGCGTGGGGAGGCGGCTCTAAATGGAGGTGGGGAGTTTCCACAGTTAAGTTCTCACTTTGTTTGTTACCAAAGTTTTGTTGGCTTCGTTTATTTGAAAATTTCTTCATTTTTGGGAATTTCGGTAATTGCCGGCTCTCTCAAGTTCGCTTCCTTGGACTTAAACTTGAAGTCGGAGCTGGAGTCGAAGCTGCCCAGTCCAAGTCCCAGTCCAAGTCGAAGTTCTGTTTGCTGATCTTTCACTGATTTTTTGGCATTGCTGTGTGGAGTTGTGCCTGCTGCTACCTTCTGGTTTCTGCCTCCTTTTTCGGGATTCTGTCGGTTGTTATCATGGCGGCCGAGGCGACTTGGTGCCAGTGATTGCCACTTAAAACCGTTAAGCAAACGCCGTTGCAGCTCAGAGAATCGCAAATGACTGCTGCTCGAGAGACTCTCCGCTTGGTTTTTCGGGTTTTTAAATGAACTTTGCTTATGGGTTGCTGGGTGTATTCTGTTGGCATTCCATTGCACTTAACGCATTCCCCCAACAGCAGAGGAGGAGGAGGAACAGCACCGGCAATGGAGATAAGTTTCAATTACAAATTGTGGTGAATGTTTTTGCTTTGTTTTAATTGACAATCCGGCAGGAGCAAGGGCCCCAGCTGAGATATGAATCAGTTTTGTGTGAGATTTCTTATCCGTGGAAATGAAAGTAAGGGAGCGATGCTCAATCCTATTTTGGCTATAATTCCCAGGAGTAAGCCTCTTTTGGCTTACTCCTTGCTGCAGAGGCACCTCAAATATGCCAAAAGCTGTTGTTCTGCTCGCTGTAGTTGACAATTTCTTGGTGCCTCCTGCCTGTTGTCCTCCTCCTCCTCCTCCTCCTCCTCCTCCTCCTCCTTCGACAACTACAACCATTCGAAAGCCATAGAAATGCCACATTATCCACTGCTCCCCTGATCTCCTCTCTGGCCACAATCTATGGCCAACAAGCCCTTAATCAGACGGCAGTCGAGGAATCTCAGCAGCAGGCGGTGGAGAGTTCGATGGCGGAGGCAAAACTAAAACAACTGCAAAAGATTTAATTGCCTTTTGGCTACGGCTACGACTGGCTGCCTCTTGCTGCTTAGCTACTGTATCTGCTGGATGCGCTAAATAGTTGGCATCATTCTTATGCCTTACTTTGCTTCCTCCCCTTCGTGGAGAAGCTGAGTGCAGGCTGTGGGACAGGGCTGGGCGGGGCAGCGCATGCCAATTGGCAAGTAGCTAAAGAATTGTCATTTAATTGCGTCGCGTACGTGATCGAAGCATTTGGTTTTGCACAGCCACCAGCCGGAGTGGATCCTACCTAGACCTGCTCCTAGGGCATACATTTTATGCGTCTCCACAGTTGTTTGGTCGCTCGATCGGGTCGCCGGGGGCTTGCAAATGCCTTTGGCTGTAGCCGGCAAAACAAACAATTCGTTAATAATCCAAATTCCCACATTTGCAGCGCCTCCTCTGCCTGTCAATTATTATTATTTTTCATTGGAAAAATCCAAAGCAAAAGCCACAGTCCGAGAGAGTCTCAAGCGAGGGGAATGCAGTTTTCTAGTGGTCGGAAAAATGCTTTTTCTTTTCTTTTTCTTTGTGTATGTTTTCTAATGCGTTTTCTACACACACACACACACACACACACACACACAAACACCACACACTTGGTTAACCCATTGTTGCCTGTGCTGGCAGCTAGCGCGTGATTAAATCTACTTGAAAATTGGCCTTTGTTTTCGGTAGCTACCGAAAAACCAAACAAAACAAAACAAAACACACTCACAAAAAAAGAAAACCAAAAACCAAAACTTAAAGGAGGCCTCTCTCCGCATCGATCCGCACACACGCATCGGACATTGGGATTGGAATTGGGAATGGGACCAGCAACAACAACAACAACAGAAGCTACGTTCGATCGACCAACTTACCATAAAGCACCGTTACATTCTTCTACATTCTGCGCGGCTAACAAACACACAAGACCAAAGGAGACAATGCGCTTTGGGCCTCAAAAAAAAAAAAAAAAAAACCATTGCAGAAGGCAGAAAGCTGAAGGCAGGCAGGCGCATGCGTAGCAGCTAGTAGTTGGCGTTTTTTTTTTCTCCCTTGGCTAACACTAGACAGCAGGAGAAAAGTTTTAGGCCAAAGGCAACAAAGAGTTTCCTTTGGTTTCCAATTGATTTTTGCTGCTTTGTGGCAGAGTTCGATGGGTTGGCCCTACGAATTTGTGAGGGAATTCCTCAGCTCTCAGTGTTTTTTCTGTCTCTTCTAAGGAGCTAGACCACACCCCAACATCTCACTTAGGAGTGCAAATCTCCCTCCCCTTTTGCTTCGTTCCCTTTTTGGGGTGAAGCTTGGAATTTTCCTAGCTGTTTCGTTTTTTGGGTTTTGCCGAAAATTAGCCACAAAAGCCGCAAGCGAAAGGGAGACAAGAATGCCTATTTCCATTCCCATTTCCATAAACCCACTGCTCATTGCCACTGCCAAATTCCATTCGCAATTCCAATTGCAATGCAACCCTGTTTTCTGATTCTAAACTTGAAATGCATTTTGGTTAATTAAGCGCGTTCCGGCGGCGATTTCCCGCTGCTTGGCAACCAATTAAGTTGGCTCCCAGAGACCCATTTGGCAGGCCCAACCAAGATCCAAAACCGAAGGCCAAGACATTGGTGCCCAGGCCCAGGCCCAGGCCCAGACCCAGGATATATCCTGTCACTTGTGTGTGCGTGTGCGTGCCTGTTCTGTATCTGTGTGAGTGAGTGTTGGGCATGTCGGCGGATATAAATTTACCAGGCAGCTGTGCCCAGTGCCTGCCCACGGCTTTCTGTTACTCCCATGAAACTCTCCTGCGGGGGGAACAGAGACTCTGACTCTGAGTCTGCCTCTGGACTGGAACTGGGACTAGAGACTGGGGCTAGGAGTAGGTGTCATATTTATAATTTACAACATTAGCTCGCCATGGGGTAGCTTCGCAATCTTGCTGAATTTATGCATAAAGTAGTTGATGTTATATATATTCCAGAGAGCGAGAGAGAGAGAGAGAGGGGTTACACTTCTCCAACCCTACCGCATACCCTACCCCCTCCCCTTGGAGTGGGCCCTCCTGGTGTGTGTGTGCGTCGGTCGGTCGGTCGGTCGTCCTCTCTATATGCATATGTAACACACGTTTACGAGCATGTAAAATGCGTGTATTTTATTTCGCCTTCACTCGCTGGACTCCCTCTGTCAGAGTCTACAGTCGTTCTGCCCCCTGCTCATGGTGTGCGCACCGCCCGGATAGTTAAATTGCCCATCGGCTGCTAACGAGCCCGTTCTGATTTGCTAATGTTCCTCGGAATGAAAGATAATGATTAAGGAATACTCCACTTATACACTCTCTCTCTCGCTCGCTCGCTCTCCACTTTATTTAATATTTCTAAACGATGGCCAACAGAGGGGCAGGGAGTAGTCCAAGGCACATTTAAGTGCCGGTTTTTGTTTGTTTCATTTGTGGCAGTTTAAAAGAGACTCAATGGAAAATTTAAATATTTAGAGAAATAATTAAAGCTGTAATGCATTTCCTGGAGCATCGCACCATGAACACATTTAATTTAAGGAGAAACTAGTCAGAAAATATATTCCCTTTCAGCAAAACCATAGCACTTCAGCGAACACTTTACAAGTTGTAGTTCCTGTAATACAGCCAAACTCTCTTTTTTATGAATTCTTAGAAATATTTAATGCATATTTCAGTCTATAACAAATTTTCAAAAATATTCACCTTCCTATGCGATTGTTCATACTCTTCCAATTTCCTGCATCTACCAATCTTTCGATTGCCAGTCGTTCGTCCATCACTTTCCCATAAGTCGCCAGCCAGTCCAGTCCAGTCCCTTGGGTCAGACCTGAAGAATACTTCCTACTTCTCTAATCAGCAAACTTTTGCACACACGAGGCAAAAAGAAAGAAGAGCAGAAAAACCAAAAAAAAATGGAAAGGTAGAAAAAGGTAGAAAGAAACTTTTGCCGGCAGAAGCGTAAACCCCAAATATGGAAATGTTTACAAATTGCACAAGAGACGAACAGAAGCAGCAGCAGGAACTGCCGCATCAGCAGCGTTGCGTTTGCGTTGTCAGTGGGCATCAGAGGAGCCACAGTTTTGGTGGTCAACTGGTCAGCGGATTTGCCTAGAGAGTAGTCGAGCTCTCCACTCAGCAAACTTGCTGCTCCAAAAATGAACAAAATCAGCGTATATAAGAACGGAGAGGAGACAGAGAACCCCATAGCTATGCCACATAGCGGGCAAAGGCTCATCATCATCATCATCTGGACTGGCCTGGACTGGTCTGGACTGTGCCTGGCCCCGTCTGGCGAGGCGGCGGCGCATCCTTTGGATTGCCTATTTTGTAAATTCGTTAGTGCTGCTGAAATATGTTGATTGAATTTTTCGGGAGCAACTACTGCATTTGATTAGAAACAAGAAACAAGCAGAGAGGAGTGTGGGTAACAGGAGGAGCAAGCAGCAGATGGTCGCTGAAACCAAAAATGGTCAAGAGACCAAAGAACGAGAAACCAAAACGAAATGCGATTGTTATCAGGAGTGAGGCGAAACACTTACTTCCCCATTTACGCCCTTCCCTGAGCAGGTCAAAGGTCAAGCAAACGATAAACATAAAAAAAGCGAAACAAAACGAAACAAATTAACAAGATTTATTAATTAAGCAACAATTTACAAGTGATTTACACTTAATTAGTGGCACCCGTGGGGGGGAAAGTCGTTGGAAAACCCCCAGAGAGAAGACAGAGAGAGAGAGAGAGAGAGAGAGAGCGTGGGCTCATCGTTGTCGTCGTCTCAGCTTCCGGTGTACTCCTCCTCCACCACCTTCGATACGTTACGTTACCAAAGAAGACTTTCGACGGAAATTAATTGTTTAAACTTGTAATTTATTGAACCCGAAAGAAAACGAGCTTAAAAGCGGGTCTGCTCTGTGTCTCTGTCGTTGCGTATCGGTTTTCAATGCGCGGGCGTGGGCGTGGAGCTGTCCAAGAAACCATCCAGACGATAACCGCATTCTCGCATTGTTTTTGGTGGAATTATTATTATTATTATTATTATTATTAGAAGTTAAGAATTTAAGCTCTCCAATGGAGTTTGAATTGTGGGCCGCAGTTATCGTAAGTCCCTGCCGTAAAGGTAAACTTTAATCTCTTTAATTTCTCTCAGTGTGTGTAGGAAGTTGCCCCCTCGGGCACTCATTTTCGTAAATCATCAGGGCTAAAATTTATATGTATTTTTTTGTAGGTTTTTTTTTTTATTTCGAGTGGGTGAAGGTGGACGGACGTGGACATGAAGGTGGAGGCAATCTGCGACCCGCACAGCTAAGCCGCAAAATGACTTCATTAACAAATATTTCATATTTTTCTTTTCATTTTTTTACATTTCCATTTTTGTAGTCCGTGGCGGAGGCCCTCTTGGCGGTTGGTTTTCTGCGAAGAAATTAAGCCGAAATGCACCGCATGAGGCAACCAAGCGGCGGCCACAAAATGAATGTTTCAGACATTTTTTTATATATTATTCGGTTATGTGGCGGTGGCGACTGTGGCTGTGGCTGTGGCAGTGGCAGTCAGCCGATAAAAGCCCTGCTAAAAACTTCATTAAGGCTGTCATAAGAGGCTGCCATTTAAATGTGACACATTTTTCGGTTCGGTGGCAAGATGTGGGTCACGACGACACGACACACAACGCCGACAATGCGGCGATATAATGAGCTAACAAATGACACATAAGTCGCGTGTAAGCCGGATCCATATTGAAAATTTCACGAAATAAACGAGCGAGCATTAAAGTCTCTGAAAAGTTTGCCCTTTTTTCTTGCTGGTTTAAATCTGTGCAATCCTTTGCCCTCCCCACTGTTAGCATCCAATCACAGATTCACAAATGAAATATAAACAGAAAACCCCCCAAAAAAGGGGTTTACGAGTGGTTTTTGTCTATGCAATTTTAACCCCCGCATATGCAGAACGAACCCAGAAAGGGAAATCTTTGTCTGTGTGGTGCAGAGGGGATTAGGTACCTCTTCTCTCTATGTGTGTGTGTGTGTGTGTGTGTATGGAGGAGGGTCAAACTACTTGAAATGTAATCGACAGTGCGGCACTTGAATGACCAACTGCTGCCTGCTACTGGTCCACATCCTCCACATCGAAAACGACAACGACAACGAAAACGACGTCGACCCTTTCAATTATTTGCCGAAAAAAAAAAACAAAACAAAATGCAAACATTCGACCAGGGCAGAGTGAGGTAAAGCCCAGGACCTGAACCTGGACCTGGACATGGAACTCAAGCTGGAACGTGTAGCTGGAGCCACAGCCACAGCAAGAGCCATGGACAGGGACAGGGCTAGAGCTTGTGGGTAATGAAGGTCTCTGCCTCGCTCTCTCTTGGTTGCATTGTGTCCCAATGTCTGGTCTGTTGGACTGTGTGTGTTTCCAAGGTCCCAAAGGATTTCCTTGTTATGCGTGCGATGTTCGTTTAACCCCCGAGAGTGAGAGAGAGTCTGGCCTGGTCTTTTCTACTGCCACAGCCACACACACCAACCAATGCTGCTGCCACAGTGCCGCTGCTGCTGCTGCTGGCCTGCCCTTTGTCCAAGGTTCAGGCTGAACCAACCTCCAGGTCGTTTGTTTGTCCATCGTCTCCGTGGCATTGCGTTCCGTTCAGGTCGGTCCTCTGGTACCGTATCTGGACGTAGCTTTTTGTCTCTCCTTCCTCTCAGCGAAATGCACTCGAATGGTTTCGTTTACATTTAACGTGCGAATGTTGCTGTTTTTTGAATTATGGCGACAGGAACGGAACAGAACGGAGCACAGAGCCACAACAGCCAACACAGAGTCACAGTCGCAGTCGCAGTCGCAGAGAGTGAAACCCCTTTTTGTTTCGTCTGCGGTTTTGTGACTACTTCTGCCATGCACAGTGGTGCAAAGTGCACAAAAAGTGCTTACATATGTGACTTCTAGTTGGTGTTTACCAACTCCAACCACTGTTTACGTCTCTCTGTGGCCTTCTTCCTTCCTGTGGGCACGGTTGGCTCTGGGGTTTATGCCTTCAAACCGCAGTCCAAAAGTGTTGTGTTTCGACGTGTGTAGGTACGTACCTCCCCCTGTTCCGTATTTTATTCAAAATGCAGCACCACGTAATAGAATTTTTGATGCCAGCATGTCTGTGCCCCATAAAGATGCCACCACAACAAACCACACATCCAGCAGGATGATGATGATAACGGTCAACGCCCTGCCCTCCCCCCCATTTCATGTCCATTTCCAGCCCTCGTTTCGGCAGAGGAGTAGGCTGGCTGGCTCTTTGGTTCAGGCTCTCAGAATTTTTGGTGACTTCCACTTCCCATTTCAATTGCATTCTGAAGCTACTGGGCAAAAATCTCATCATAAATTCATTAGTTGCAACTCTGCAGCTCAGCTCAACACTGGCAACGCGTTGCACGCAAAATATTCCGAGTGCAGGAGGAGCGCTGCATCTGGTAGCTGTCTCGGTTTGAAGGTGGAGCCGCCGCCTCCTCGCTCGATGATTTATGCAGCAAGTTGTTTAGAAAATATGCCAAGTCCACGTACAGTCAGTCAGGATGCAAGGGGGCAGATCCCTGGACCATGTCCAGTTCCCAGTTCCCGTCGTGTTTGTTTCAGTCTGGAGTCCAGTTCAATGAAATGCTGAAGCCCAGAAGGGATGGCGGCGGCTCCTCCATGTTTGATTAAGCGAGGGACTCGCTCCGACTCTCTGTTCTGCAGCTAAACGCAAATCAACGACGGCGTTGATAATCGCCAACGGGGCCGTACACAGTTCGACTGAGTTTTCCACTGACCACTGGCCCCAGGGCTAGACAGAACCAAAGCCAAAGCCAAAGCCAAAGCCAAAGCCATGTCCATGTTCGTTCATGACTGCCACCATCCCCACTCATGTCAGAAGTTGTGAAAATATACACCTCGCTCTTGTTTTTAGTTGGGAGGTTTTAGGTTTAGGCTTTTTCGGTTTAGGGTCTGCCTCTGTCTGGAGTGG